GTTTTATTTGCCTTATTGTTTTTTTTACACATTTTATTTGAAGTTTCTATTCATGTATTTATTTTTGGATGGTTTTAGGTGGGCAACACTGATATTGAAGGAATAAACATAATCGCCTTCAGACAGATCAATCAGTTTGATCTGAGTGGCAATGTCATCACTTCCTCTGAGCATCTTCCCACTCTCTGGGTAGGTGCAGTAACTTATATACTCCTTTAAAATGGTTTCTCATATTTGATGAAATATTGAAGTCATTGTTGTTGTTCCTCTAAAGGTGAAGCTCTGCAAGAGTGACAACCTTGACAATCCCATTCAGAGTGTGTCTCTTGGCCAGTCCATGTTCTTCCACTTTGCCCCCTTGCCACGTGATGGAGAGGTAGACCCATATTAATCACCTCTTTTCCTCTAAACAACTCCTATTTTTATAATCTGTTTTACAGTATTCATATTAATCTGCCAGTACTTAGATCTTAAAAATGGGTGGTCAGACATTTTCATTTATTAATTTAATTTTTAATGTCTTCTTGCAGAGCTATGTGTTGATTCTGCACACATCACTTTCTCAATCCCAGTATGACTTCAAACTCCCACAAGTCTCGTTCACGTCTTCTGGTTACCACAAACATGTAACACTAACCTTTAACCCTAAGGTAAGAACCTTTTCACACAAAACATACATTATTATTTTTTTCTTTGTCCAGTGATCAAATTGTGCTGACCAGTAAGATTTGTGTGAATAGATAATTCATCGGCGTTTGTTTGACATTTGGTGTGAGAAGGATCTAAATTCTGCATTCAGAAAGCTGTTCATGAGTATGACTTTGATCTAAAATTAAGTTATGATATTCTCAAGACAATTCACGTGTATTTATATAGCACAATACAGATTGTGACAAAGCGGTTGCGCAGTAGCAAACAGGAAAATAACAGTGTTAATGTTGCAGAATTCATCATTTAACAACTGTAAAGCAACTCGGAAGACAATGGTGTCATCATTCAGTTCAGTGTTGATTCGGTTCGATGTCAGTGTTGCAAAGTTCATAAATTATGAAACTAGTTTAATTCAGCTATACAGAAGGTAACAGTATCTTTATGCAGCTCTATTTAGTTCAAATCTTGTTTGCAATCAAGTGTCAGTGCAGCTGAATACATTGAAAATATTATTAATTATTGTCTTTTAAAGCCCAAGCTCTGGGATTTAATTTGAATGAATTTGTTTGGCTTTCCACAGAGGAAAATACCAGATCAAGATGTTGCCCAGGGATCTTTCATCGCCCTTCCTCTGACATTACTGCTGTTGCTTGCTGTCTATAATCATGAGCGGGTACCTATTGCTTTTTCTTTGAAAATAGTTGAAAGCCACTTAGAGATTCTTGACATTTGCAATAGCTGCAGTTCTTAAGACATTAATGATATTGTGTCTTTCCCAGGTGATCCCACTTCTTCTGCAGCTGGTCAGTCAGATCCAGGGTGTTCGAGGACTTGCTCAGACAAGCGCGGATGGACTCCCTGTGGATGAAGCCAAGCGCCAATCAAAAAGGCCAAAGACGAGACGTACATGAGACCTCAGTATGTCCTAGTATGAAGGCCAAGCCAGTCACTGCATTCAGATCTCACAAGCGTCCAGTGTCAGACAGCACGTAAGACCATGTTGGTCTGAACATAAAATCCTATCATAAAAACAACCTCGCCTGGGGTCGCCGAAGTTTTTTGGACATATTTAATCTTGCTCATCTCAGATAACCGAAGGTTCTTTTACTGTGGTGTCTTGGATACACAGATCCCTATAATACAGTCCTTAGCATGCGAATGTGGCCCGGAGATTGTGTTTTTATGTTTGTGAGAGACTGCTCAGGGAGGATGGCTGATTTAAGAGACTTCAAATGTGTGTGCTATTTTTTTTTTTTCTTTTTTCAGTAGTATAAAGAGTAATATGATTCCAATAGTACCCTGAATTACTAGATTTTATTAAATCCCTACTCCAATTAAAAAAAGTTATCAGTTCAGTTTTTTTATAACTACTTGAATTTGTAGAATTAAGTTGTCATTTGCAAATGTAAACACCCGTACGTTTTAAAATGTAGAGATTAATAAACATTGACTCACTAAATTCATTCTGTATGATTTTAGTTTCCCTCATTTGTTTAAATGCCTCAAAACATAACTAAAAAGCTTGCAAAAATAAATTTTTAAATTCCTTAAAAGTAACTAACTTGCTGCTACCATTTGATGGGTTCAATACATATTCATTCCACTGCATTCATATGATCATAATTTGATAATGTGTATGGTTCTAGAGAGAACAAATATAATAAAGTGTTTTTGAAATTATTTTTCATTGTGTTTTGGAACTAAATTCTTGCCTTCAATGCTGAAATGACAGTGTATTCTATGTTTGGTTATTTATTTATTTTTGTTTTTTTAATCAGGAATCAACCAGGAGTTATGTACTGTAACTGACCACTTCTCCGTAATGTATAGGAAGATTACAGAAGATGCATTTACTGCAAAATAGAAACAGGGACATTTGTAAATGGGTTTAGCATGTACAGGAGGATGCATCATCAAATATATTTTGATAAATTAAATGGAAACATTTGATAATCTAGTTGTTAAATCACAAAATGTAAAATCTTGTTGCATTACTGGGGTAAGATGACCCCCCTACCTGGAGTAAGAAGTCCACTGTCATCTGATGAGGTTGCAAACTACATAAAGCACATCTGACATCATTTTTAAATTAATTTTTTTATGTGTCATTAATGTGAAATACTCCATCAAATATTGTGCAAATGTAGGCATTGTGGCAATATTATTATAATAGGGCAGGCAGACAAAAAAATCACAATAAAATAGATGCGTGTGAATTATGCAATATAATTATAAAAATTTTATATAGGCTTATGTTTTATTTGGGCTTGTTAGGAATAGACTGAATTTATATTGAATTATTCCATTCAGTTGGCCTGAAATTCACATGGAAAATCAGAATTAATAAGACCATAACTATTCTATAAATGTGTTGAGAAAAGTTTTGAGATCTGATCAAGATGTGTATGTGGGAAAACAGAATATAATAAAACATATCAAACTTTTTTTTTCTTCCCAGATTGATGAAACTGAATATATCACATTTGTTTATGCTTTTAGAGTATGACCATTAACTTGTATTCTTGTCTGATGTGTTATTAAAGAAGGACTGAGATGACACTGGTTTACTCTTATGAACCTCAATTTATGCAACAGTAGCCATAAATTTATGTTTATGGCTACTTTAGCAGCCATAAACTCCAGAAGAGAGTTTAAATACATTTTTGTTATATGAAAGATCACATTTTTTGTTGCAGTGTAATTACAATGACTGTGCACTTACAGTGTAGTGTTGTTTATTACACTTTTGTTCTTGCATAAATTAATTGTACATATGGTATGGTAACCATCGTTTGCATTAAAAATGTTTGCTACAGATATTGTTACTACACTGCATTTTGGAAATCTGGTGTTATCCAGCACTGTGAATGAAAGAAAGAAACATTATTAAATGTAGAGACGATCTGTATTTCCAGCAAATTTTGTAACATTTGCTTCAAGTTTCTCATTTAATACTTTGTAGCACATGGCCTTTTTAATGGAATATACAACTTCTTTATTGTGATCGAACTGTAATGCTATTGCTGGCATGTCCATTCCAAACTTAAATATAAATTGTTGATGTTGGATAGATATACCCAACCTCCAAACCATGTGGATTCAGTCTAATCTGATGTAATAGCTACACTGTAAAAAATGACCGTGAATTTAACGGTAAAAGACTGTAAAAATGCTACAGTAAAAACCTGTTAAATGGTTAATGGTAAATTCCCCTACTATATACGGTGAAAAACTGTACTGGACATTACATGTGTTGGACATTAATTTTACGGTAGTATACCGTTCTTGGAAGTGAAAAAGACCGTATAATTTACAGTGAATAACCGTAAATTGACATTCCCAGAATTCCCTGCGTTACATTTCAAATTTGATGTTTTTTTGTTGAAATAACTATGTTTCTTCTTAGTCACCTAATGTTGTTAAATGAATGTTTATTGCATGATTTCAGTTTCATGTGTGTTACCATGATGGTGTTTAGCGTTTGTGTGAATGACACTGTGCACCTTCAATATATGTCATTAATTATAAGCTACTTGTGATGGCCTTTAGTTCCTCATGTGACTTTCTCATCACCTCCTGCATTTGGTGATTATCAGTGTATTACAAAGGTGCAAAACAGATTTCAGTACTTCAATAGGTTGGTATATTATCATTATATCAGTTAATGAAAATACGGTATTTAACTGTAAATTTAAGTTAAAACCGTAAAACCTAAAACGTTGCTACCGTGTTTTTTACGGTAAAATTCCGGCAACCACAGCTGCCGGTTTTTTACCGTAAATTTTACGGAATTTTTTTTACAGTGTAATCATATAATAATGTTACAATAAGGTTCATTAGTTAACTACTTTAGTTAACATGAACAATACTTCTACAGCATTTATTAATCTTAGTTCATGTTAATTTCAACATTTACTAATGCATTATTAAAATCAAAAGTTGTGCTTGTTAACATTAGTTAATGCACTGTGAATTAACAAGGAACGACTGTCCTATTTTCATTAACTAACATTAACAAAGATTAATAAATATCGTAATAAATGTATTGTTCATTGTTTCCTCGTATTAGTTAACTAACATGAACTAATGGAACCTTATTGTAAAGTGTTACCATAAAATCTAAAGACAGGAAAGAACATGAAAAGGGGAGCTTCTTACATGGTTAAAAGGAGGTCCCATACATAGTTTTTTTATGTTTTATTTTATTACTGTAACAGTGCCTGTAGTAGCTGTGTTATTGTGGCTTAATAGTCGATTTGGGAACTAATAACGTAGTATTAATTGTTACACTGAAATATTCGTGAATCTCGAGCTTTTAAGACCCAGAAGGGGTCCGTCGCTCCATCTTATTGATTACGTATTTGAAGCCGTATCTTCAAACCGGCGGTCGGTCGATGTCCCTTAATTGACAAGTGCATTCGGTCTTTCAGCGCTGCTCCACGGGGTGGTGTCGAGACAAGTCAACACCTGCAGCCATTTTACGCTCCGATGTCAAATATTCCGGTGATGCCGTGAATCAGATCCATCTCTGAGCAGCCCGTCTGCACCCTTGAATCCAGCAGGTCAAAAATGGTTAAAAGAAAGAGCTTAGATGACAGTGACCAGGAAAACTGCCGGGGGATCCCGTTTCCGATCCAAACCTTCCTATGGAGACAGACCAGGTCAGTGATTTAGTCGCGGCATAACAGGTGTTTTCTGCGAGTGGTTAGTCTTTCCTCTCGTATATGGCTCCCGCAGAGCGGTTCTCATTCGTGTGCATCTCTCATACCGGTCTCTGAATGGAGTTCTGTTGCGCTGCTGTCTCGTGCGTCATCTTTTCACACACTGCCGCACCTTGTGTGTCTTACAATGAAACCCTGAACAAAATTTGCGGAATATTTTCTTTCGAATATTTCACCTTCATAGAGCAATCGTGCTGTCAGTGCCTTAACCAGAGCTCGTCATAATTCAATTTCATAAAACCATGTTGTGACACACAGTGTCCTTGCCGCCTCGATTATGTCTGTTATTTTATGCAGTTTTGTGATATGTAACTAAATGAAAAATGTATGTATTACAGCGCGTTTTTGCGGCCGAAGTTAGGGAAGCAGTATGAAGCCTCCTGTGTGGTGAGTGTATTAATAATCATAAGTGAACACCTTCACCTGTGAATAATCTTTCCTTTATCACAGAAAACTGTAAGCCTAAATCCGAGGTTCATGTACACTTATATTTGATTAAATGATATAATATTAATACACCAACCTATTGAAAAAAAAATTGTGCACTCACATACAAAACCCATAACACACATGACATTAAAATAATTCAATAAACATTCATTTAACAACATAAGATGTGACATAAAACCTTAATGTGCATAACCGATAAGAAAGAACTAAGAAGAAACGATTATTTCAATGAAGTGTTACAAAGGGAATTCTGGGAATTTCAATTTACATTTTTTTCCACTGTAAATGATAAGATGACTACTTTTTCATAAAAAAAAAAACTGTAAATTGAACATTACATTACCTTTGAAATGTTCTGTTAGATTTATTACAGTTTTTCACCATATATAATAGAGCCATTAATCAATTAACAGGTTTCTACTTGAGCACTTTTACTTCACTGTTAAAATAAAAAAAAATGTACAGTGTGTATCCTCTTAACTTTTTATTTTGTGAATATTTTGTTCTATTGACAGCCACAGAGTTTTTTCCAGTAAGAAATAAAAAACAATTTGCATACAATTCTGTACATAATAAAAAATACATAATAGTAACAGTAATTATTTATCATCATTATTATTATGATTATTGTGCCATATGACTGACAGTCGTGCTATTATATCATGTTTCCTTTCTTGTGTACAAATAACACTGTAACAAGAGGAAGAAATCATTTGATAAGTGTTCTTGAGGATATGTCTTTTATCCTGCCTAGTCATTTGAGCGGGTGCTGGTGGAGAACAAACTCCACGGGCTCTCTCCAGCCCTCACTGAAGCCATCCAGAGCATCTCTCGCTGGGAGCTGGTCCAGGCTGCTCTGCCTCATGTTCTCCACTGCACTGCCATCCTTCTCTCGAACCGCAACAAACTGGGTAGGAACCCTTATTAAACTGCAAATGCTAGATTGTAATTTGTGCACCATGTGTTTGGGTAAATACATTTAGAGGTTAATTTTATTGCTTAGCATGTCCACAATCTCTTCACCAGGACACCAGGATAAACTCGGGGTAGCTGAAACGAAACTCCTTCACACTCTACATTGGATGCTTCTGGAGGCGGCCCAGGAGTGCCATCAGGAGCCTGGCTTGGGACAGGGCTGGTCTGGGGGTAGCAGTGGTAGCAGTAGTGCCTACCTTCAGCCCATGGGGAACCAGGGTCTCACAGACCGCAATGGCAGCACAACTGAAGAGAATGAATATGCCCGTGCCAAACTCTACCATAAGAACATGGCCACTGTGGAGCTCTTTGTGTTTCTCTTTGCCCCACTCATTAACCGGATCAAGGTTGGAACTTTTACTGTTGGTACTATTATTATTTTTTCTCTGAAGGGCTCAACAATACAGATTTCCTGCTACCCCAAGGCCAGTGCGAGAGAGCTCACGGAAGTTGCTGCATTACCACTGAAAATTTTACATCATTGTATTCATTTTAATGCCTTAGTTCTCCACGATCTGTTCTACGTTGTTGTTGTAAATTCTTCTGATTTTTCACAAGATAATCTTATCTAGCTGACAAACATAGATGAGGTTATAGCAGAAGCGTGTTAATGAATTTATGGAGTTTCATTACAGCTGTATAATTTCCAGCTTGTTGTACATTTTATTTTTATATAAATTAAAATAAAACATTCAAATTATTATTGTTGTATTATAATAATTATATTATTATTTTATTATAATTATTTCATAATTTAAACATTTTAGTGAAGAAAAAATGAAACCTAACAATTACTGAAAAATCTAAATATTTCTAGCAAATGTTTTTGTGATGGGGCCGATGAAAATTTTAGTAAAATCTTGACATTCTTATTGTTGAGCCCTACTTTATCAGTTCAAAATTGTTATGGCTGTGCATGTGCTTTTTTATTTTGCAATTAATAATTGATTAATTTGCTTAAACTGCAAAAATAAAGAATTTTTTATTGATGATTTTGCATTTGGCAGGAGTCTGACCTCACCTTTCGACTAGCTGGTGGACTTGTTATTTGGCAGCCAATGTGGGAGCACCGTCATCCTGATGTTCCTGCTTTTTCTGCCCTTGTCAAACCCATGCGTAACATTATTACAGGTCAGATTTCTGTAAATTCACCTATTATTTACGGTTCCTCTATCGCCTCTGTTCTGAACAACAACAAAAAAACCCAATATACAATTCCATCTTTGCTCATTGTTCTTTATGTGTGTAAATCGTTCATGTTTTTCACATCTGCTGTCTCTCTGTTATATTCTACAAAGCAAAGAGGAATTCTCTAGTGAATAACCAGTGTAGTCCTCATGATACCAGCAACCCATGCCCTTCAGTGAGTATTCAGAATGTGATTTGCAGCTGCACAGCCCCTTCTGGCTCATTTAGTCCTGGCGTATATAAATTAATTTGCTCTCGTAGTGCATTAACATCATTGTTCAGCTGGGGTCATGTGATTTCCTCTTCTATCTCGGCTTTCAGGTGGTTTGTGAATCAGTCCGGCCAGACTCCTCCTCCCCCTCAGCGACAGGTCAGAGCTGTCGCCGTGGCAACTCTGTAGAGAAAGGAGGGTCCTCACAGCAGGCCTTTGAGAAAGGATTTTCACAACCAAAGAAGTGAGTGTTTGTACATACAGGTGGTGCAAAAATATCATATTAAGACTTGGTTGTTTCACTCTGACATAAATTGTACAATTTTATAAGAAGGTTCCATTGTTAATTTATTAGTTAATGCAGTAGCTATCATGAAATAATAATGAAAAATACTTTTACAGCAATTATTTTTTTTAGTTAATATTAATTTCTATATATGCAAATACATTTTTAACATATATTTCTATAAATGAACATTAGTAGTGAACATGAATTAATAAATGCTGTAAAAATTGTTGTTCATTGTTACAACAATATTATAACATATGAACTAATGTTAACAAATTGAACCTTATTGTAAAGTGTTGGCAAAAATGTATCTATTACAATCTTTTACAGCTAGAATGACTCATCCAGTGTTGGCTAGAGAAATAGTGTCCAGTTCCCGTCAGACTCCCATCTGTCACAGTGTTAGTCTGTGCATGTGTTCGCAGTGCAGTTGCCAAGCAACGATTCTGAGCAAACTCAGTCTGAACATCCATTCTTTCTGACCATCATTTTTTTGTAACAAATATCTCTCTCTCTCTTTTTCTTTCACTGAAAGTTTCTCAGTCCCTGTTGGCATCTCTGTATCACAGCGAGCAAGATATGCCACCTATTTTGATGTTGCAGTGCTGCGTTGCTTGATGCAGCCTCACTGGACAGAAGAAGGTGTGCACTGGGCCCTCACATACTACCTGCAACGACTGCGTCAGATACTGCAGGAGAAGCCTGAACGGCCCCCTGAGCCCCTGATACCCCCCTTACCGCGACCCCGCAGTAGTTCCATGGTGGCTGCCACCCCTTCTTTGGTTAATACTCACAAAACACAGGTAGCAATCCTATGTCAGTTAAATGATGTGAGACACTGTGTTTTTACATAGCAGCTTCAGATGGTAATGGGCAGTGGCATATCTGTATTAGGTTCTGGCAGGGCCAGGTTTTGAAATATATTCCATGATCATAAATTCATTGAAAATTATGATACAGTTTTACCATAAAATAAACTCGTTGTACATTACATACACATGACAACAGCAATATACTGTGTATTAAGTGGAAGCCATGTAACTGTCATCAAGGATGCATAGATATTAAAAGTCCAGTAGATATTTATATAAATAAGCAGATTATTATTTTATGTTATTGTTGTATATCGGTATATAACCGGTATTTAAATTCCAAACAATCTGGATAATTTGACTTAAAAATATAAACATCCATTTCAGTGCTACAGTAAAAGTAAGAAAGTATTCTAAAACTTCCTAACACTGCATTTTGGATTGTATTTTTAAAGATTAAGTGTAACATGATGGTAAAGGTAATCTTAATGTAAAAATAAAGGGAAATTTACATCCACAATTTAATATCTAACGTCAGACGATATGTGTCCAATATAAACCCATACTGATAAAAAATAATAAATAAGTTAAAAATTGAAAAAGTACAGATATGGTACTTATTGTCACGCTATGGTGACTGTAATAAAGCACACAACGATGGAGATAACTAACAAACAGTCTTTATAAATCCACAAAGAACACTCAGGAAATGATAGGAGAAATGCACTGATGAGAACGAACAAAGAAACTGAAGAAACAGGGCTTATATAACAGGAACGTGATCAAGTTAAAACAGAGCAGGTGTGGGAACTTATGGGTAACTATGGAAACGAAAAAGGATAAGGAACACAGGCAAACAGGAACAGAAACACAGTGCAAATTAAATCAAAACAGAAAATAACCCTGACACGAATGATATCGAGTTATTCAGTTACAATATTTTGTTGATGAATTGTGTTGTGTGAGATAATAAGGCCAGTTGATGTGAACGGTTTAAATGCATTTTTGCTTGATACAAAATTACTAGATATTTTGTATGTGCCCCTATGTTGGACTTGGCATTTGACTGATTTCGCCTCTCCAGAAATAATGATCCAAAGATGGCACCACTAATGAGTAATAGAGATGACTGAGCAATCTCGCAGATAAAGTTCGTTATACAAGATCAGAGTGCCGTCAGTGGTTACTTTTTTAATTAGTAGGCTTGAAACCTTAAGTTTAGATTAAATGACTGTATGGCCATAACACAGGATTAAGGATCAGGATGTGCCATTGCTACTTTAAAAGATGTGTAATGTTCACATGAAATAGTATTATTCAACATTTTAACCATCATAAGTCATAGTTTTTTTGTAACAATGCTGATACCCTGATTTTTTTTCTTTCCCATTTCTCTAAGGATATGACTCAAAAATGTAATGAGGAAAGCAGGTCTTTGAGCTCTGAGACCTTCTCCAAAGTGTCATTTACCAACCTCAGGAGACAAGCAGTCCCTGACCTCTCAACTGAGATGGGCATGAACATATTCAAAAAGGTATGCAGATTCTTTTTTATGCATAGTTTCAGACAGTAAACCAATATGATATATTTTAGTTTTTGCAAAACCTTGATATCACATGCAAGGTTACCTTTTCTTAATTTTCTTGACATTTAAAGTCTGCGTGAACCGGAAGTTGCTGCCGACTTTATTTCAGTGAAGTGACGTATTTCCAGCTGAAACGGAATATTAAGAAGAGGTCGTGGTTTTATTTTTGTGCTCCTCCTCTCATCTCTCACTTATAGCAAACTAATGGTTGGAGGGGTGTGTTTGCCCAAGCCGTCAAACTGACGTCATCAGAGAAGGAATGCAATTCCAGAGCGGAAGTAAATGTTCAGATTTTGATTAAAGATTACCAAGACAAACTGTTTTTTTCAGACAATTAACTTGCACGGATTAATTGTTCACATCAAGACCAGCAATGTGCGCTAGTAAAGTAAATAAAGTCCATTTTGATTTCATGCAGACTTTAACTTTCACTATGCCACTATGCACTTGTTTTATTCTATCTCTGTTTATTTATTTTTTATTTCAGTTTAAGAACCGTAGAGAAGATAGAGAGAGAAAAGGCTCTATCCCATTCCACTATACTGGGAAGAAACGCCAGCGTCGAATGGGCATACCTTTCCTGATGCATGAGGATCACCTGGATGTTTCACCCACACGCAGCACCTTCTCATTCGGAAGCTTCTCTGGACTGGGAGATGACCGTCGCACTCTGGACCGCGGTGGTTGGCCTTCCACTATCATGGGTATATAGGGCCCTATGGCATTTTTCCCATATTCTGTGCTTTTTATTTAAAAAATTTTGTTTTGTTTTAATGCTATAATTGTGAATCATAAATAAAACTTTAACAATTTAATGATGTTAATAATGTATTAAACTTTTTAACCAGTAATAGGGCCCTTTTCGCAAATTCTATTTTATTTTTCCCAGATTTTGTTTGAATTTTTCTGGATTCTGTGCTTTATGGTTTAATCCATCAGCCCTGCCCATACAAATTATGTATTCACAAATTGCTTGCGCTTGTATGAGATTAGTTTCAGATTATTGTCATATTGTGGCTGTGTTTTGTTGTGTTGAAGGGAAGTTGACACGCCGTGGAAGCTCAGATACTGCTGGAGATGTGGACAGTCTTGGAGCTAAACATTTTCACTCCCACCACAACTTGCCTGAACATTCCAACAGTCACAGTGACAATACCATCAAAGAGGGTGGTAAGCAAATTAGTAGCACTATTACACTGTTAATTCTAAATCTGTTACAGTTAATGTTTCATGAAATTAATAAAGATTAATAAAATACAATGGGTTTTCAAAATAAGGGTCACAATGGGGTGCTAGTGGGTTCGCTGAGCATTTTAGAAAAATAATGTAATTAAACATTTTCCAGATAATGTTTTGATGGTGATTTTGACTCATTGACTTCTTTCTTTCACAGTTCGTTCCCAGATCTCTACCATCACCATGGCTACATTTAACACAACCGTGGCTTCCTTTAATGTAGGCTACACAGATTTCTTCACAGAGCACATAAAGAAACTGTGTAACCCCATTCCCATTCCTGAGATGCCATGTGAGCCGCTGGCCTGCTCCAACCTTCCCCGAAGTCTGACAGACTCCTGCATCAACTACACATCGCTAGAGGACCGAGACACCATTGAGGGAACTAACAACTTCATTCTGAAGAATGGCATGCTGGACCTCATGGTAAGGGGTGCAGCAGCCTTGAGCAGAGGGGCATTAGAGCGACAGATTTGCTTATACACTATCAGTCAAAGGTTTGGATAATTACAATATTTTTTAAACAAATTATTAAACAGCCTTATGCTCAACAAGGCTGCATTTATTTGATCAAACATACAGTAAAAACAGTGATATTGTGAGATATTATTACAATTTGAAAATTACTGTTTTCTGTTTTAATATATTTTAAAATGTAATTTATTTCTGATTATTTCTGAATTTTCAGCAGCCATTATTCTGTTTCACATGATTCTTCAAAAATCATGATGTACAAATATTAATAATGTTCTTATTATTATCAGTGTTTTTTCTGCTGAATATTTTTGTGGAAACCATGTTTTTTTTCAGGCTTATTTGATCAATAGAAAGTTCAATTAACAGCATTTTTTGAAACAGATTTTTTTTGAAAATCTTTTGTAACATGATAAATGTATTTACTGTCACTTGACCAATTTAAGGCATCCTTGTTAAATAAAAGTTTTAAAAATCTTACTTACCTATGTATATATATATATATATATATATATATACTGTATATATATATATATATATATGTGTGTGTGTATTTATTCATTTATTTGAGTAATTTTAGAACTTCAATGTAAACGTATCTCAGTTAAATGCCAAGGCAACATTTCTAATTTAGATTTCCTTTTTTTTTTTTTACATCTAATATTTAGATTTTATTTAATTTCAGCTTTATTTCGGTTACCAAAAGTGAATTTAATAGTTTTAGTTAACAATAACACTGATGGACAGTAGGTCATTTTAAATCTTTTCAAAAGCGTAATCAGTTCATTTTTCAAAGAAGCCACTTATGAGTGGCAATAATTCTTCAAATAGTTTTTGAAACTGCAGCCTGAATCTAGTTGTGTGTGTGTATTTATTTTAATAATTGTAATTATTTCAATTATATTTCACAATATTACTGCTTTTGCTTTATTTTTTATCAAATAAATGCAGCCTTGGTGAGCATAAGAGACTTCTTTCAAATCATAAAAAAAATCGTAATTACAATATTTCAAACCTTTGACCGGTAGTGTCAAATTCTGTGTTCAGATAAGCCATTAACTTCTGAGGAAAATGTGACAATTATTTTAGATTTAGTGTACCCCATTAAACTTGAAATGATGTGAGCATATGGTTCGTATTATGAGGAGTGTTGCCGTTCCTGTTTACCGCTGTGCTTTTTTTCAAGGCTATTCTGCGGGCCCTGTATGCTGTACTCACCCATGACATTGGTTCTCGGATTTGCGACGTGGCTCTCAACATCATTGAATGCCTCCTGCAGCTGGGCGTGGTGCCCAGTGTGAATAAGAAAGCCTCCAAACCTGAGGATAAAGAGGCGGAGCATCCGAAGGAGGGAGCCAGTCAGAGTGTGGGTGGAGCTCAGGGGGAGGCTGCTGGAGGCACAGGAGCAGCACCTAATGGAGGTGGTGGAGGAGATGGAGGAGGAGGGGGTGGAGAGAGTCGTGGAGGAAGCAGAGATGATATAAAGAATAACAAGGACAACAAGGTAAGCCAGTTATTATATCTGTTGTAAATTAATATGTGAAAGTAATTATCACATGCAAGATTTCATGCATTTTTTAAATCATCAACAGGATGGAGACACTTCACTCAGCACTCACAGGTTGGCTCTCACCATGCTTATTAAGATCGTAAAATCACTCGGCTGTGCGTACGGCTGTGGGGAAGGTCATCGCGGGCTCTCTGGAGACCGTCTTCGGATGCAGGTCAGTATATTCATACAATTAAAATATAATTTTACTGTGCAGATTAACCTTTATTTTTTAAGAGGTTTAATCACTGATCACTGTCAGACAGCTTTATGTTAATTTGCTGTCAGACTATTAGTCATAGATTGTCAGATGATATGGATTTCATAATATATGCACTGTAGTATATGTCCCTAGTGAAAAAAAAAATATTATGCAATTGTACTTTTGGTATACTTAACTGGTATACATAAAGTCTGCTAAATTGGAACAATTAATTTTGTGCTTAATGCAATTTAATTGTGTGGAAGTAGTGTTGAGGTCCAACTAAAGATATACTTCACATTTTAGGCATTAAGAAATGTGCACTGTGCAATAAAGAAATAATTTTATATCAGAAAGTCTTAAGTGATATGTCAATAAATACGTTAATGGATTTGAAGTAGTATGAAATAAATGTATTTTAAATAAATCATGGCATAGGCTTTTTATAATATAGGGGTATATTTGCATGTAGCAATTATTTATCTCCAGCAAAGGTGAATGACCAGATGCTCTCCTATTTTTTAGGCGCAGAACTGTTTGACTACTCTGTACAAGCTGGATAAAGTGCAGTTCCGTCAGACTATGAAAGAATACGTTAATAAGGATTCGCTCAACAATATTGTGGATTTCCTGCACGCCCTACTTGGCTTCTGCATGGAGCCAATCACTGACAGTAAGAGGGCAGAGCTGCACTTATTAAGTGCATGTCTTTAACATGCCCAGGCATATTTTTATCCCTTTTCTGAAATCTCCAAAGATACAGCATGAGCCCCATTTTCATGCATCAGTAATAGAGATGGATTAGTCTTTTCCTAAAAGAGAGATAAACTTGATTTGTTACAATTTGATTATTGAACTGTGTATTGAACTTTTATTTAAAAGCCTGAATACAGTAAAAATATTCCTTTTACATTGAAATTTAAAACAATAGAACATTACCAGTTAAAAGTTTGGATTAATTAAGATTTTTTTTATGTTTTTGAAATAAGTCGCTTATGCTCACCAAGACTGCATTTTATAAAAATAAAAAAAATACAGCAAAAACAGTAATAAACATTACAATTTAAAATAACCGTTTTCTTAAAAAAAAAAATGTATTCCTGTGATGGCTAAGCTGAATTTATAATTTATTCCTGTGATGTTAAAACTGAATTTGAACATATTAGAATGATTTCTGAAGTATCACGTGACACTGATTACTGGAGTAATGGCTGCTAAAAATGCAGCTTTGCCATCACAGAAATAAGTTACATCTGAAAACAGAAATCAGTCATTTTAAATTGTAATAATATTTCACAATATTACTGTTTTCACTGTATTTTTGATCAAATAAATGCAGCCTGGTGAGCAAAAGAGACTTTCAAAAACATTTTTAAAAAATCATAATTATTCGAAACTTTTGACTGATAGTGTATCACAAACAGATTTTTATTGTAGGGTTCTGTAAAATTCATTAAATTTAAGCGAATTTGAAGTAATTATTAAACAGCTTGCTGAAATACTTGATTCCGATTGGTCAATAATAACCGCTACGATGTATATTTGACTGTTGTCCATGGCAAGATACCGTTGCTACTTTCATGTCTCTTGTATAACTCCGTCATCTGTTTTCATACCAACTTAGAATAGCTCATTGGTGCCGTTTTGTGACTCAAAACTGGAAAACTTGAGTATTATTTTATTAATATGGCGAGGATAAACCTTTGATAGATGACTAGAAGCAAGAAAATGAAACCATTGCTTGGAAGAACAACTAACCGGTAAGAGACAAAAAGAGCTGGATGAGAGAAAACTTAAAATAGATTAAGACATGTTACACTGTAGCTAATTATGTTAAATAACTAGTCCATAGAAGAAGTAACTTAAATTTAGCATTAATAATAAAATATAAATTATTGTTTTCCTGTTCTAAGCAATAATGAGCTGTTCTCTTTATAGTCTAATCTATAAGTAAGATAATACAATCCGATCAGTATTTCTTATCTATGTGTTTATTTATTTGGTAAATAAGCAGGATAATGTACTGTACAGTTAGCCAGTCATTATGGGAAACCAAACCCCTCCCGATTTAAACAGGTGGTGTGATCCCCTGTCTTGCTTAATATTTTACAAAAATGACCAGTTGACTGTACATTGTGCAATCAAGTCTAATTTCTTGTAGAAATGAATGGAGTGAGTAGCTTTTCCTATGAACACTGTGGCTTTTAAATCATATTTTCACATTGCCATTTATCAGAACATCTGGATATTTCTGTGTCATACCACATGTCTCAGATGCACAACAGAAATTATGCGTTATAACACAACCATGAACAATCAGAACAGATCATAGCACTTAATATAGCAGGCAGAATAATTTAGTGTCACATATCAGGGTTTTTTCATTCCTAGATTATATGATTAGCTATTACACCAGATAGATTAGACTGAATCCACATGGTTTGGAGGTTGGGTATATCTATCCAACATCAACAATTTATATTTAAGTTTGGAATGGACATGCCAGCAATAGCATTACAGTTTGATCACAATAAAGAAGTTGTATATTCCATTAAAAAGGCCATGTGCTACAAAGTATTAAATGAGAAACTTGAAGCAAATGTTACAAAATTAGCTGGAAATACAGATCGTCTCTACATTTTTTAATGTCATTCGTTTCTCGCTCCTTGGCCTCTTCTGTCCTCTGCCTTCATGTCTGCCAGTAATTCTTTCTTTCTTTCTTTCTTTCTTTCTTTCTTTCTTTCTTTCTTTCTGTCTCTGTCAGCAAAACCCCACTGTTTGTACCCCAATCCCTCATCACTCATCACTCATCCTTTCAGCAGACTTGCCAAACATCATATTGACAGTGTCAATTCTTATTGTTTGTATTTTAAATTTTATGGACTCAAAACAGCAAGATAAGCTGAATTTCGATTGATTTCTGGCAAGTTAGTGAACATGAGTGAGTGTTATGAAAATGATATCCCTATGTTTTTTGGGTTGTCTTCTTTTTGCATCTGTGGGTGCTGCGTCTGTGCGTGGATGTGTTTTGGAATGAGTTGGTGTTTCCTGACTTACGAGTACATGTCTGTGCTGGCCTGACACCAATGTTGCCCACCATCTTTTCTCTTGCAGAATACGGCAGTGCAGGTGAGAGGTCCAGGAGGGCGAATAAAAGAAACATCGGTAGATACACAATATCTAAATTTACTGCCAAAACTAGGCATTACATCCATTCCTGCACCCCTCATGTCCAGGGTGATGTTCTCGCCTATAGTAGAGCTAAACAGTGCTTAGGCCTTACCGAATAAGCAATCTAAAAACCGGCTTTATAGATCCAGCTAAACAAAACTCAACATTGCTTTGAAATCAGAGCATGACCTGATTGTTAGGTCTATAACTATCTCTCAGGCCACAGTCACTTGCATGTATGCAAACCTTTAAAACCCGCAATCACTTTTTAGGTTTTCCTATCATATGTGCTATTGATTTTCCTCCTTTTCATCTTGTAAACATCAATGCTTCCTGCTTCTCCTCATTGTTTGGCACTTATGGCTGAGCCTCAGTGATTCTGCCCAGCCGTGGCATCCAGGCCACAGTTTTTCCTCTGAGATGACCTGTTTGTGTTTGCAGACAAGGCTGGCTTTGGGAACAACTTCACCACTGGAGGAGATAAATCTCTGGCCCAGAGCATGGAGACTGTGGTGGTGGGCTGCATGTTCAAGTCTCTCATCACAAGATGTGCCTCCACTACACATGAGCTTCACAGTTCTGAGAACCTGGTGAGAGTGCTACGGTTAATTCATGCCAAAAGTTTGGGCTTGAGTTTACATTTGGTGACAGTAATGCTAACCAGGCACAATACAACAAAACAAGTAAAAAGGCATCTCTTTGAAGCCAGCTGTTTAAGCATCACGGAAATATGAAAAGCTGTTTCCAAATCTGAGTAAAGAGAATTTCTAAAAAAAAATAAAAAAAAAAATAAATATATATATATATATATATTAAAGTCAGCATGTTATTAAACTTGACTTTTTTTTATCTCAAAGTTTTCAATTTTTAATCTAAATTTCAACAGACATCTCTCTGGTGACGTATGCCAAACTCTCCAATCTTTAGTCCACCTTAACACTACCCCTTTCCTACAATCAGTTGCAAGTTCGCATTCAGATCTGCCTCCATCCAACAATCGACAACCAATGAATAGACAAAAGTCCCTGCCCTACTTTTTTTCCAATAAACCATTTCACTCGGATGTAGATCACAATATAGAAGAAAAGATCTGTCACTACTTTAAGTCACACTATGAGGTGTAAAGTTGCATTGTGAGATAAATTTGCATTGCGCAATAATTACTTTTAACATGTTTTACTCTGTCCGAGGCAGAACTGAGATAGATTTGTTCTGATTGTCTGTAGTTTTGTAGTTTATGATTGATTGATAGTATCACACGTCATTTTAGCATTCAGGGTGGACAGACAAATTGTTCATGGCTGGGATCTTGCTGTTTGACGTCTAGTTAGTACATGGTATAATAGTAGTTATACTTTGAGTGTTTGTATGTAAATTGAGCATGTAGAATGAATAGCTGATAAATAGCTGTGTAGCACCTCTCAGGTAAAGCAGTCTCTTGTTCACAGAAGTGTGAATATTTAAATCTGTATTTCTGTTTTTTATTTTCCATCTCTCTCTTTTCACACATTCACACTATGATTGTCTCTGCTTACATCTAAACACACTCAAATCAGGGTCTGTATTGCGACATACGTCAGCTGGTTCAGTTTATTAAGGAATCCCATGGAAATGTCTTCCGACGTGTGGCTCTCAGTGCACTTCTGGACAGCGCTGAAAAACTCAATACCACTAAAAACACAGATGAAAAGGAGACCAAGCCATCTTCAGCAAAAAAGTACATGCATAAATATAACACACATTTACTCAAATGTTCAGTATAAAAATGCCAGTGGAATTTCTATTTGTCTATTTGCTTAGTACACTTTTTGACCAATTTGACCAATTCAAAACATTTTGTATGTATCTGTATCCATGTTTCAGTGAAGAGCAAATCCCAGGAGCACTTCTAGGGAGAAAAGACTTTTGGAGGAAGATGTTCAAATCTCAGAGTGCCGCCAGTGATACAAGCAGCCAATCAGAACAGGATACCTCAGAGTGCACCACTGCCCACTCTGGTACTACCACAGACCGTCGTTCGCGTTCACGTTCCCGTCGGATTTCACTACGCAAAAAGCTCAAACTGCCCATAGGTATGTTTTTGTGAGAAAGAAATTCTTTACACACATAGTCTTATTTGTCTCTGTCGAATACAAAGCAGATAATTAGAGCCTTCACTATGAACAACAGTGTGATCAGAGGATGAGTTTAGCCCTTGGCTACCCCTTTTCTGAATTTCTTTAATTACAGAATTACTATATGCAGGATTCAAGTGTATTATGAAACACATTTACTCATTAAACAGCACATAAACAGTAAGTAAAATGCAAAGTACAGTAAATACATTTATCTTAAAGAGCAGGTCATATGGTATTTTAAAGTGTCCTAATATTGTGTTGGAGTCCCCTACAACAGGTTTAAATGCATCTAAGGTCAGAAAACATTGTAATTTTCTCAGAATATACATTTAAAGGGGTCATATGATGCGATTTCAAGTTTTCCTTTCTCTTTGGAGTGTTACAAGCTGATTGTGCATAGATAAGATCCCTGAAGTTGCAAAGACTAAAGTCTCAAAACCAAAGAGATATTCTTTATCAAAGTTAAGACTCTGCCACGCCCCCCTAAAACGGCTCGTTCTAACACGCCCCGTAAAAGCCAAGATTACAGAAGCAGTACTTGGTAAAAATCACATGCACACAACAAAAGGTTTGAATTGTATTTCTGTGGTATCCTCGAACACAGCTTGTCTTCTCAACATGATGTAAACACACTAACTAGCGGAAGTGTTTGTGGGCAGGTCAGACTCTGTTCGTATTTCGCGGGGAGGCGGGGATTATGCAAATGTGTTACCCAGTGACGTATACCAGTAACAAGCAAAAGATTCGAAAATATGACGACTCGTTAAGGCGATTCAGAATCGACTCTCTCTTTTGAGAGACAATATCTTTATTTTTCATGCACTTTTTTGATTAACAACTTTGCAGATTGTTTTCATTTAAGGATAGCTACGTTATAAACTGCAAACGAGATATTTTTCAAAAACCCATATAACCTGCTCTTTAACAGTTCTAGATTGATAGTGATTTGCTCTCTGTAACCTAATAACTACAAAATTATAATTTCCATACACAGATGATTCTTTAAGGAATAATTCACCCAAAAAAATTAAATTCTGTCAACATTTACTCACTTTAATTTGTTCATAACAAAGGAAGATGTGCATTCCCTTTAATGAGTTAATGTCCGTGTAACACATAGGTAAGATTGTAAAAGCTCTTTCTGGTATACAACCTTATGCATATTTTTATTATAAGAATGCTTGTAATATTAGAAATTGTGAAGTTAATATTAGGACTTTAAAAAAAATAAACCAATAAACTGTATTTTAACTAGAGTATTTAGTTGTAATTGGTTTACTGGTGTGTTATGGATCTGAATGTTAAGAAAAATCATTCATATCTCTGTTCTTTCTTTTTTGTCACCAGCATGCCATAGGAAAGCTCGCCATCCACTCACTCTCTCCATGTTACGTATGTGTGTTGTGTTTTAGTTATGCAGCCTCACCATACAGTGTCATAATGGAAGAAAAAAATGCATTCAAAGGTTTATTTATTTATGTATTTTTTTATACTTTTATGTAATGTGAGTGTGTATGTTTTATTTGTCCATTTTTGTGTTTATGCTGTATGAGCCGGAGCACCAGCATGAAATCTTCCCTCTTTCATTCCTTTTGGCTTGTTTGCACTTCCATTTAAAGGGTACCAGAGTGCAAACCTGAATAGGTCTCAGAGTTACCAGAGTGCTACACTAACATTATTTCATATAACCATTTTACTTGTGGAACAGGAAACTGGCTGAAACGTTCCTCTCTATCTGGTCTGGCTGATGGGGTGGAGGACCTGCTGGACATCAGCTCAGTGGACAGACTGTCCTTTATCAGACAGAGCTCCAAGGTAAGGGCAAATCTCTGCATTTACTGAGTAGTAAGGTTAGGATAAATGGTTAAGAGTGCCCATGATAATAAAAAAATCTAGTTTAGAACGCATCTGCAAAGTTCTTATAATTGTAATATTATCCATGTTGGTTTGATATTGATTTTCATTTTCAAGTTTAATGACTCTATTGTCATGTGGTGTTCCCATCAAGTAAACAGTAATCACATACTTTCCTTGACATTGAATACATGTGACTATACTTTCTCTCTCTAAATAAACAGAAATTACAATTAATCTAATTAAAAATTTTAACAAAAACTATAGTATTTCATTGATATAATATATGTATCAAAGATATAGAATATCAATGATACTAAAATAACACTGCCTTGATTGTTTTAATTTTATGCCCCTCAAAAATGTAAATAAAACTTAAAAAAGAAATCAAAAACATGCTCATAATAGATGTTTATTCCAGTCATTGTATGTATGAATTGCTTTAAAACAATAGATTATTATATAGACTATTATACTTGTTATTCATATTTTGAATTAGTTTATATTTTATATATTTTCCATCCTATTAGTATCCTATTAGTATTTTTTTCTGATGTTCTTTTTTGTCATTTTAGTAGCTTTTGTTTGTTTGTTTGTTTTCTAATATGTTTATGTACATTTTTATTTTTATTTCAGTCTTAGTTATTTAATAGATCAAGTTAAACTAAATTAAAATGCAAAATGTTTCCTTGACAACCAGCTGAAATAAAAATATTAGTTTTTTTTATTTATTTAACATTCATTTTATTTCTAAGAAATATGTTTCTTAAGGTTTTCATTTTAGTTAACTATAGTAAATGAAACTATAAACACAGGTACACACAAAGCAAAGTAAAATTAATAATTAATAATAATACTTCATTAATATGCACACACAAGGGGGGGGGGGGGGCCCTATATTCCTCAGGTCCCACCAGAAACTATGTCAATGTTACTGTGATCATTAGTGCAATCATTTTTCTGCCTCACCTAATTTCTTTCTTGGGAATACAGCTGAACTTTCATGACAGACAATCAGTCATTGCTGTAGAGTTATTAGAGAGGAAGTCCTTGATTCGAGCCTTTTCTGTACATCTCAGGTCAAGTTCACCAGCGCCGTGAAGCTGTCAGAGGGAAGCGCTATTGAATATGGGCGAGAGGAAGAGGAGAATTTCTTCAAGCGGCTCGGTAAATGGCGGTCTGGTCGGAGGAACCCTTCCAAGGTTCACCACACAGAAGAGAAAGATGGTAGAATCCTGGGGTGCCTTCCCCCACCCCCGTACACAATTCGCTCTGTTTGCTTGTGCGTGTGCCCGTACTTGACGTGTCTTGTGCTTCTGGTACACTCCTCTACCATCTTCCATACCAGCTCTCTGTGTGTTTGTTCATCTTTGTCAGAGCCATCCGCTGGAAGAGGAATTGTGGTTCTCTGACCTATGACCTGGCACCATGACCCGTCACAGCTTTGTCACAGTTGTCATGAACCTTCAGCTCTCCAAGTTAATAGTTATTAGATATTTATTTGAAGGATTTCAGAAGTCATAGACATAGTTTGATTTGCCGATCTTGAGTATTCTTGTTGTTTTAGACTATTGGCAAAAAAACAGACATGCATGTTCATTCGATATCACCAGATGCATATTTCACCAGCTGTTCATGCAGAGGTTCTACACTCCTTTCACTGACATCATTCTGTGCCCTGACAAGGTTGCCATGGATTCCAGGAGCGCTTGGCTGCCAGTCAGGAGGCCATGAAGAATAAGAACATTGTGAATCTAGGTGCGATCAGACAGGGCATGAAGAGATTTCAGTTCCTGTTGAACTGCTGTGAGCCAGGAACTATACCAGATGCTTCCATTTTAGCAGCAGCGCTGGACCTGGTCAGTTCTATTTCTTCTACTTGTATATAAAATGGTTTCACATTACTCTTGAAACATATCTAGACTGGACAGATAAAATATCAAGATAATTGGTATTAAAGGCTGGAATACACTACACGAGTTTTGCCCTCATTTGTGTCTGCACTTTTTTTTTAGCTTCAGACTTTGATTCCACCCAGTCAGAGGATATCAAACATATTTGATATTTTAGTAAATTTTACAACGCATGTTTTAATTTATCACAGATCCTAGTAAGGGTGCACATGTTTCTGCATTAGTTCAGAATATCTTGAAAGTCTAATTGCGTGTAATCTTCAGTTGTTTAGTCTATGATGCCCAGATTGTGTGATGATATGAGCAGCAAGTGTATGATGCCTAGTGTTTTAAAATGTGTTCATAATTTCAAAGTTGCGTAGTGTATACCAGCCCTTAAGGTGCATTTATTATGTTTATTTATTTATCTTTTCAAAATTTGTATTAGGACTTAATACTGATACCTATAGACGTGGATCTATGAAGTTTTTTTTTTTTTTACTGCTGCTACTGAAGCTGTTTTTCTTTTGTTTTGGTTTTGTGTATGTTTTTCTCATCTCATACTACACACATCTATAAATTGGGCATTCTTAGATTCAGTCTTAATACATTTTCACCAGATGTTGTTGTTTGCACTGGTATGTTGAACCTGTCTGCTCTCAGTTCTTTTCAAAATTTGTATTAGGACTTAATACTGATACCTATAGACGTGGATCTATGAAGTTTTTTACTGCTGCTACTGAAGCTGTTTTTCTTTTGTTTTGGTTTTGTGTATGTTTTTCTCATCTCATACTACACACATCTATAAATTGGGCATTCTTAGATTCAGTCTTAATACATTTTCACCAGATGTTGTTGTTTGCACTGGTATGTTGAACCTGTCTGCTCTCAGTTCTTTCCCTGCTGCAGATTTGTCTTGGATAGAAGTATTTTGTGGTGTATTAGCTGTCGCCATCCATGTTCGCACTCTGCGATTGATTTATTCTCAATCTGTGGCATGGGAGCTGCGGGTCCTTGCAGACATATTAATGTTGTTGTCTCTGACTCTTCTGGTTTGCTTGTTTTTACGTGTGTATTTATTTATTTATTCCTTAAAGGGAAAGTGCACTATCAGAAACTCAGCTTTCTATTGATAATATACTAATGATAATCATTATGTCAACATCAAACCATGGCTGCGATATAATATGTTAAATGTTGTTGGCTGCCATTAATCCTCTGTCGAGAAAGTGGACTCTAAAGGTTCAGAGCGAAATTTAATTATTATTTGACAAAATTAGGGGATTTATTCAGACATCCATTAAAGTCTGTCAATGAAGACATCATTGACATGTTAAGTAAAAATATAATGTTAAAATAATATAGTGCATTTAATAATATTTAAAATTTGAGTGTTTTCATTTTTATACTTTTTTTTCTAGCTGTATCCTAATAGATACATTTTGACTTGGCCGCATTATTATTATTACTATTATAGACCATTGATATGTCTAGAGTTTACATCATTTTAAAATTATATTTCTCAAAAGTGCTATTAATTTCTTTATGTGTATTGCTTTTTTAAATTAGCAAATGATTACTGAGTGCATCTTTAAATCAAGGTCAAAAATGGGTCTTTATTTTCAGAAAAAAATAAGGAACCGAATACTGTCTTGTTAGTTTTGCTAAATGTCTTCACCAGGAAGCGCCCGTTGTGGCAAGGGCCTCACTTTTCCTGGAGTGTGCTCGTTTTGTGCATCGCTGTAACCGTGGTAACTGGCCAGAGTGGATGAAAGGTCACCATGTGAACATCACTAAGAGAGGACTGTCCAGAGGTCGATCGCCTGTAGCAGGAAACAAAAGAAACACAAAGCTCCAGTGGAACGCAGCCAAACACTTTTACCAGTGGGGAGATGTGAGTCACATTATACTGACAGATATTCAAATGTAGTCTCTACTGCAGAAAACATTCTTATGTAATTTTTGAGAAATTCGTTTGTGGTATTTGCCTGCATCTAATATTTGTATCCTCAAAAAGGCAATAGGCACTCGGCTGAGTGAAATTTGCCACTCAGACAGTGAGAGTCCAGCCAACATCTTGGGTTTTATCTATGATGAAGAAAGCAAGAGGCGAGCAAAAAAGGAGGATGAGGAAGAAGATTATCTGGATGACAGTAAGAGTGGAAATTATGAATTCAGATGAAACAAAGACAATGGACACTTCAAATCCAATATAATAGTTGAGCATTTAGTTGATATTTTTTTATGATTCTTTAAACAGACACAGTCAACCCCACGAAGTGTGGATGTCCTTTTGCTCTGAAGATGGCTGCTTGTCAGCTGCTTCTGGAGATCACCACTTTCCTGCGAGAGACCTTTCCCTGTCTCCCCAGACCCAGGACAGAGCCCCTTGTGGTCAGTTTTGGTATTGTCTCCCTCAGACCAAAATCACTCATCAGAGTTATTATTATTAAAGGGGTCATATGATGTGTATTTGGTGTAATGAAATGTGTTTATGTGGTTTAAGGTTCAAAAAACACATTATTTTCCACATACTGTACATTATTGTTTCTCCTCTATGCCCCACCTTTCTGAAACACGTCGGTTTTACAAAGCTTATCGGTCTGAAAAGCGAGGTGTGCTGTGATTGGCCAGCTATCCAGTGCGTTGTGATTGGCCGAATACCTCAAGCGTGTGACGGAGATGTTACGCCCCTTACCATACTGTAATGCTGTGTCCCGGCCGGAGCGACAAGACAAAAACATTCAAACTCATCATAAATGAGGCATTTGTTGCATCCAGTGGGGACATAATTACGGATTATAATGACTTATACTGTCTTTTTACACATTGCATTGCATTGCGCCACGTAAACAAAACAATGTCTGCATTTGTGATCGGAGAAACAACAAACAAGCGCTACTCTGCACTGCTTAAAACTCGCCTTTGAATCATCAGTGGCAAATTCTTTAAATATGAAAACTAACTTACAGTCTGTGAGTCAGAACAGCCGGCATTGTAGTCTACTCTACCAGGATCAGGAAACAGTCCTCCATAAAATGCGCTGCACACATCTGAATATTTGGGTTGAACTGTTCTGGAACAGTGTTGTAAATACAACTTAACCACTGATTTCTAGTCGTGTCCTCTTTTGGAAGACCAAACAAAGTAGTTTCGCTTTCACAACGAAACACACAGCGTCACACATGGTGGGCTTGAGTGAGCGGAGGCCAGCGGGCTAGAGTGAGGAACGGCCGGCAGGCTTGAGAACGGCGCGGCCGGCGGATTCGGTAAAGGAGCGGCCAGCGGGCTTGCGGCAACCACATGTGACGACCCCGGGCTGGACTCCACTTCGTCCACGGTGAAAGCCGATCCGGCGATCCACAGCGCGAAGTTGATGTCACAGTGCCTTCACAACATGGCGGCAGCGGCAACAACAATACTACAGCGAGAATAAAAGTTACACCTTCTTTCTTTGCGTGAACATTTGGGTGGCGTTATGCAAATCTTCCCACATCGTGACGTAGACATGTGGGGGCATGTTAGAACGAGCCGTTTTAGGTAGGCATGGCTGACTCTTAAATTTTATAAAGAATATCTCTTTGGATTTGAGACTTTAGTCTTAGCAACTTTACAGATCTTCTTTATGCACCAAGAACTTGTAACACTCCAAAGAGAAAGGAAAAATTGAAATCGCATCATATGACCCCTTTAATATACTATAGTTTGGAATGACCTGAAGGTGACCAAATAATGGCTACATTTTCATTTTGGCTTCTTAAGAGGAGATGCATGTATTTTTTAAGTGTTAAAATACTTTTTCTCACACATTTTAATGTGCACATTTCTTGATGTGCAGAACAGCACTTAATTGGCACTTAAGCAGACTGCATGTAACCATGTTAATTTTCATGCAAGAAAACTGCCATGCATTGGATTTAGTTGTTAATCATACACCATGCTATCTGTTTCCTAATTTAAATCACATTATATGACCCCTTTAACTAAAACTAAAACTATTAACTTACTAACTTAAACTAAAAGTTTGAGTTGAAGCAGTAAAATAACTGAAAATAAATAAAAACTAAACTGAAATAAAAACTAAAACTGAAATAAAAATAAATGTTATCTAAAAATTTATGTTAAATAAATAAATTAATTTAATTAAATTATTATTTTTTTAAATTCCACATGTCGTGCGTGCCTTTATGATTAACAATTCAGAGAGATTTGATAAATTCATATCTTTATAAAAAACATTCCATATATCTTTCATTAAGTGTGTGTATGGCAGAATTCAGAATTAAACATTTCTCGAATTTAAATATCTTGATTCAGTTCAATTCAGCTCTTAGCATATAGCATATAGCCCTGGTGTATATTCAGCCTGTTTGACTAATGATTGAAGGGCAAGCGGATCTGAAATTGCACAGAAAAAGAATACATATAACAGGCTTTTCTTTTGGCTTCAATAGGATTTAGAGAGCTGTCGTTTACGTCTGGACCCTGAGCTAGGCCGTCACCGCTATGAGAGGAAGATTAGCTTTGCAGGAATCCTGGATGATGAGGATGGGCACGATTCTCTGAATAGCAGCAGCCACACCCTCAAGTCTGACACTGGCTGTGAGGAAAAGAAATCATCACAAGAGCCACTGGGTAAAATGGAAGAGGAATAATTGTCTACATGTTTGATCAAGGCTGAAGTCTGATTTATCATTTTGTCTCATCTCTTTTCCCCAGCTCCAATTAGGAAGATCCGTATTGGTGGCTCTCGTTTACTACAGATTAAAGGAGCAAGGAGTTTTCGAGTAAAGAAAGGAGGCTCTTTGTCTTCTATCCGCCGAGCAGGGAGTCTGAAAAGCACTAAGACGTCCAGACAGGACTCTGAGTCAGAGAATGATGCAGAATCGGAACGGCTGCTCTCCCAGAGTAGAGATACTGTCACTGATATAGGTCAAACAATCCTTCTCCTGATCTATATAAATTTATTTTAGCTTGACCTCATGTATCTGAGGGCTTTAATGTTAAATTTGTAAATGTAATAATTAGGGAGCTGGCCAAAGCTTCCAAACCTTATTTGGAAATACATGCATAATGGGAAAAAAAATGGCATGAATAATAAACCTTACTGAATGGTAGAGAAAAATATTTGTTAGGCTGACCCAACAAACACAAGGATAAATGCATATCCGTGCATATTATAACTTAATGGTCAGTCTGTGAAGCTAAGATGACAAAGTGTCATAAACGTTTATGAATGAAAATATGAAAGGTGTTTTTTAAATTCAAACTGGATGGCTGTTTTGCAGTTCTTTCATTGAATGTGTCTTAGAAATTCTAACTTGTCAAAAGTAAAGGCCTGTTCACACCAAGGACAATAACTATAAAGATAACGATAAAGATATAGTTCTAAAGTCAGTGTTCGACATGGCCCAAAACAGAAATTGATGTTCCTTTAGTAACGTTGCAAGTTAAAATGTATTCATTTTGTACACATATTATTCATTTTGTTCTGATGATCCAAAAAGTCAAATTGCATTCTGTACACTGTAAAGAAAATGTGGTTTCAACTTAAAGTGGTCATGCTGCCTTAAAATGTTACGTTTAGTCAACTTAAAATGTGAAGTGACAACTTGAATAGACTACTTCAAGTTAAATCCGAGAAAGTTATTTTAACGCAAATATTTTAAGTTGTAATTGCAACAATATTTTTTACACTGTATAAATTCTGAATAGGCAGTTGTTTCTCACATTTTTTAAATAATAGGCCTATACCAAGCTTTTCAACCAGTCTGTTTTCAATTAGGGATGCTCATTAACCAGTTAACCATTAACCGATAGTAAGAATTTTGACAGATTAATACAATCAGTTAAACGGTTTAAAAAGTCATTTAAGTATTTTTAAGTAATTTTCCAAAATATTTTAAAATATTTGCTGCATGGTTAAAAATAGGTTCTGCTACATATATAAAATAAAATTTAGTTTTTGAGAAAAAAAAGCAGATAAGTTCGTAAAAGTCGCATTTTGTTATTACATTCAGAAATACCGGTAAATAAAGCGAGATATTTACAAACATTATAAACACTGTAAGGAATTTAACTCATTAATTCTTGATAAGGGATTATTATCATTAATTTTATTTCTAGCTCAGGTTTTGAAAGGACTCGCATCTGGAAAATCGAGGTCCACCTGATTAAAACTGAATTCCAATTTGCTAGTTTACACTTTAAATCAACGGTCGTCCAGCGAGCCATTGACTTACTTTACTTACTCTTAGTCATTTAGCAGACGCTTTTATCCAAAGCGACTTACAAATAAGATAGTTGACCTCAGTATATTTTAACCATTTGAATATTCGTATTTCCCTGGCCACGGGCTAATACGTTCTTTGATCATTTGTAAGCTCTTAGAGAGGTAACGTGATCTTTGGTAAGGGTTTGACTTTAAAATTATACGACACCAGACAATGATTCTTTATAAATGAAACATGAATTTTATTGGCTATTCTAGATTACATTAAAACTAAGCTACAACATACACATACACACACACACATACACACAAAGATTCAAGGAAATGAGTTAACGGAGTTGCATGAAGTTTTCTTGGTTCTAACACTCGTTTCCACGAGTGCTTTAAATTCAGCCTGAGAGAATTCACAAAGCAGAGGTTTGTCTTAAGTGTACTGCTTAACTCAATTCACCAGCGTCAGTTCAGCAGATAGAAGATTTTGTTTGAACTTGCGTTTGCTGAAAGCTGAGTTGTTCCTCGTGGCTACTGGAGGGGATTCCGTGGCTGATTGGCTGTTGATCTGGCGCCGGAATGATGTTTGGATGACGTCCTTCTGGGGAAGCCCTTGTTGGATTGGTTGCTTTCTTGACGATGTAGAGGCTTGAGCAGTTCTGCTGAAAAGTCTCTGTTTGCAAGGCTTTAAGTTCTTTGAAGATCGCGAAGTGTCAACTGAAGTGTTTGAGTTCTGGAGTCTCGCTTGTGCGAAGTTACGGCATGGGAGCGCTTTGTCACGCTCACCAAGGTGAAAGCCAAAGGTCTTGAGAGAGAGAGAGCGAGCGAGTGCGTAAGACTTGGTGTCCATTTTTAAGCAGGCTGACTTTTGTCCAGCCCACAGGTCGTTGTCCAATCAGATGGTGGGTACGGGGTTTAGCCACGCCCTGTGTGGTTCCTTTTTTTGCATGCACAAGTCACATGCTCCTGTGGGGCGTACTTCTGCAGGTTTTAAAAACTTCTTATAAACATATCATCACCGGAAAATGATACAGAATCTAAAATTTTCACTAACACCAATGGTCGGCAAATAAAACAAGCTTTCATTCAAACTCAGTATCAGATAGTTTGCATCCACATTAATAATCTTAATTACTAAAAGGTGTTTATACACATTGGTTAAACTTGCACCGATTACAGGAAACACATCACACATCATCAGACATAAACATATTATTTGTGAATATATTGCTCCGATACTTTCAATGATTTTCACTGATTGTCTTATGAATTGTCTGTGTACGTTCTGTTTCTTTGTCTGTGACAAAAGAAACGTAAGGGTTTCAAAAAGGGCAGGAAGCAGATGTTCAATGGGTCATGTGGCGTCACGCTGTATATCCCCTGCTTGCAGGCCCAAGGGCGTGATTAAATTTCTGTCCTTTTCCTGTTTAGATATAATAGTTACATTCATTGGTGGTCACAAGACAACGTGGTTTCTATATGTTGTAGTCCTCATACAAAAGATCTCTGTGGTATCTCTTGATTAGATTAATCCGAAGCCTCATGATGAGTCGATTCAGTGGCATATCACAGTCCTGTGGTTTGTGGTATTAAGAAATCCCTACAACACTATAAACAAAGCTAGGCCATATGCTATTTTAGTTCCCCTCACTCCACGACAAATGTTTTAAATCAGGGGTGTCTGATTAGCTGGATCAGGTGTGTTTAATTTGGGTTATAGCTAAACCAGAGATTGTCTTAGGGTTGGGAATCGAAAATCGATTCCGATTCCAGAATCGGATACTTAAGGTCAGGAATCGGATACTTGTTGTCAAATTAAAATTTAGATTCTGCCTATCGATTCCTATGCGCTTTTTTTTTCTTCATCTGTGAGGACCGGACCTAGTGATCTGCCAGGACCTTGCTCACTAATCTAAGCGCGCCAAAGTTTGGCTATATTTGCGATCAGAAGCCAAAAAAGCTAAGTATAATATCTGTGATAGCTAAACATGTTGCAAGAGAGGTGTCACCACCAACATAACAAAGCACTTTAATTTAATAGATTGTTAAAGATCGAAGACACGATTCAAACACCAATGTGATTCTATTTCTAAGTTACAATGATTCGTCTGTTTCATTCCTCAACCTTTGACATTTGCAATCAATGTTGTGATCACTTGGTTCATCCGTGCACAGTACGATCACATCAGTGTGATTTAAACATTTAAATTTGCGTTCACACTGCCGTTGACCTAAAGAGAGCAGCTGTCTGTCATGAATGAAACAGCTTCACAGTCTTTTCAGCCACACAGTATCATGGGCTGTTAAAATGAATTTGTCTTTGAATCATGCAAGAGATTTGTTCAAAAATGCTGATTCATCCAGTAATGAAACAAGTACATCTTGAGTGAGTCATTTAATCATTAATTTATAAATTACATGTGATTTTGTTTAGTTGTCTAATGTTTTTTCTTCAGAATCATGAGAGGACCACAACTTCCATTGGGGGGAAAAAACTAAATTTATCCAGAATCATGCAGTTCTATTTTGCACACAAACAGCTCTTAAAGAGTCCAGGTTTTATGTAGCCTGTTGATTTTTGTTCATGGTATTCAGTTCCAATAAATGGTTTGCAAAAAAGAGACACAGGATAAATGTTTGATATCTTTATTTAATCACATCAGAATCGATAAGCAGAATTGGAATCAGAATCGGAATTGATCCAATTCAAACGATACCCAACCCTAGTCTTACTATAAGGAGATGAGAGGGTCTGTATTCTTACTATTGGAAAAAGCGTAATAGCTAACTTGGATCACTTGTCCCTAAATAACCAATCACATTACAGCCTTGATGTCATTGAATTTCAGTCAGAGTTGTGCGACACTCAATTGTCGTTTATGGATACCATAGGAGTGAATGAGAAGTGCTGTAAGCTGAATCCCACCTGTCACAAAAAGTCAGTGACTCATCTTATAAAACGGCATTTTTTTTCATGGTAAACTCTAAAAGTAGGTCAATCCAAAAGTTTTGTTTAGTGTAAAACATGTTGAAGATTAGCAGATAGGCTCTCGATTCATTAAATGATAAGCTGTTTCCTCTAAAAAGCTGTCTATTTAGCGTAGTGAAGCCTCTCCTCCATTGACATTCATTAAAAAAAAAACGGTCTCTGGTCTCCTTTCCCACGTATTGACAGACCGGAAGCATTAGCTTTAGCCGTTACACTTTTTCGGCTAATGGTTGCAGGCTTGCTTTCTAGTGGCTTTGGCTAAACTGCAGGGCTTTGGACATCCAGGAACTAAGTTTGACACTCCTGCTTTTAAATTTAACAGTATTCAGCTAAACCAAAACAGACAATAATCTGACATTACCCCCCCCCCCCCCCCCCCCGGAGGGGCG